ATAGATCAGAAGAGTCTTAAGTATATCTTCACTCAACCCGAGTTGAATATGAGATAGAGAAGATGGCTAGAGTTGATCAAGGATTATAACTTAGAAGTGCATTATCATCCTGGCAAGGTGAATGTAGTTGCAGACGCCTTAAGCCAAAAATCTTATTGCAATTTCTTGGACTCGGTGTTGGAAGATGGATTTAACTTGTTGCACCCTACTGTGCTGCATAATATCACTGTTAGTTGCTCACTTGAGAGCAAGATCATTGAGCATCAGAAGACCGATGTGGGTGTATTTCACATCAAAAGAAAGATGAAGGAAAAAAGACACCAACCATTTCAGGCTAGATGAAAGAGGTGTACTATGGTTTAAGGATCAACTTGTAGTGTCGAAGGATCAAGAACTCAGAAATTAGATCCTAGATGAAGCTCACTCTTCCAAGCTGTCTATCCATCCTAGTAGTAGTAAAATGTTTCAAGACTTGAAGACACGTTTTTGGTGGACAAAGATGAAGAAAGAAATCACAGCATATGTTGCTAGGTGTGATATCTGTAGCAGAGTCAAGGCAGATCACTTGAAACCTGCTAGACTACTTCAACCTTTGCCTATCCCAGTTTGGATGTGGGAGGAATTAAGCATGGATTTTATTGTTGGGCTTTCGCCCACTCAAAAGGGTTTTGATTCCATATGGGTAATTATGGACCATTTGACCAAGTCTGCACATTTCATTCCAGTCAGGACTAATTACCGACCGCATCAATATGCAGAGCTATATATAACTCATGTGGTACGTTTGCATGGGGTACCAAGAACCATCGTGTCAGATAGAGGATCTTAGTTTATTGCTCGTTTCTAGGAGCACTTGCACAAGCAGTTAGGTACCAACCTAGTTCGAAGTTCAGCATATCACCCTCAAACGTCTGGACAGACTGAGCGAGTGAATCAGATATTGGAAGACATGTTGCAAGCTAGTGTAATTTCTTCGAAAGGTTCATGGGAAAAGTGGCTACCTTTAGCTGAGTTTTCCTATAATAATAGTATCAAGATGGCTCCTTTTAAAGTCTTGTATGGCCGGAAATATAGAACTCCTTTGAACTGGATTGAACCTGGGAGAGGAGGTATTATGGAATTGATTTTGTTAAGGAAGCTGAAGAGCAAGTTCGTATTATCCAACAACACATTGAAGTCGCTCAATCTAGACAAAAGAGCTATTCGGATAAAAGAAGATGACCTATCGAGTTTGAGGTAGGCGAGTATGTTTACCTGAAAGTATCACCAATGAAAGGAGTGCAATGGTTTGGTGTGAAAAGAAAGCTTGCACCAAGGTATGTAGGTCCATACAAAATTATTGAGCGAAGTGGAAGAGTAGCCTACAAACTACAGTTACCTCTAGAAATGAGAGCTATTTTCAATGTCTTTCATGTCTCTCAGCTAAAGAAGTGCTTGCGTATTCCTGAAGAAAGAGTTGAAACTGAGGATATCAAGATAGAATCAGACCTAGCTTATGAAGAGAAGCCCGTACAACTTTTGGATAGTAAAGAGAGAGTAACTCGGAACCGAGTGATTAGATTTCACAAGGTAATGTGGAGTAACCACAGTGAGCAGGAAGCAACATGGGAAAGAGAGGATTATCTACGTGAAGTTTACCCCGTATTTTATGAAAAATGGTACGTACTTCAATCTCAAGACGAGATTCCTATAAGGGGGGAGGGGATGTAACACCCCAAGTGTTAAGCTTACATTTTTCAGTTGCATTGCATGAGCATAAGCATCATCCATTCATTCATGAGCATGAGCACATGAAATTTTGTTTCATTCACTCTATGTTTGTCACATGTGATACTTAATTTATACATGTATATGCCTTATGGGCATGCTTGGCTAATGCGAGTGGGTGTTGTTTGGTCACCAAAATAACTTAGACACACTTAGGATGAAAAATGGAACCATGTTTGTATTCATGACTTGGTCCAAATTTGCTTCTAAGTGTTGGTATGACTTGAATGACCTTTATCATGTTGATTGTTTGACTTATCTTGACTAACTACTTAGAGAACTTACATGGAAGTGGGACCTAAATAAAAGTTGTAGTTCATGTCATGTAGAACAAACTTTGTTTTATGGTCAAGAGCTGAATTAGTGCCTAGCTTGGTCAAATAGGGCTTTCAAAAATCAATTCAATGTTGTTTTTGAAAGCAAAAATATGGCCAAGTCATAAGCTGAGTTTCAGTTTGCATGTAGCCAACTTTGGAGCATTTTATTTTGAAAACCAGTTCGAATTAGACAAAACTTCTTTAAGCAAATTTGTAGTACTCTTGTAGCTTTACACAATGGTGAAATTGGTTTACCAAAACTCACCACGGTTTGGGAGATCCAAGGGCTCAAAAATCGGCCGTTAGTCGGCTTCATCAGGTCTGAATCGGCCTTGCCGATTTGAATTTCAGATAGAGCAGTGGCTGACCGACCGCAGGACATGGCCGCCGCGTGGCTGCCGTATGCCAGAGCTGAGCCCAAGCCACGGTCAAGGTGGCGCTGAAGGCATTGGCCTCGCGCTCTCTCTCGCGCGCACGCTCACTATCACTCACTCATGTCCCTCCCTTGCTCTAGCACAGCCGAAGCGGACAGGCGACCACGCCGCACCGCCGTCCAATTCCTTGCACCCATAGCTCCACCGTGTTGCCCTCTACCTTCCTGGCCCACTCGCGTCACCATTCGAGCACAGGTAAAGCCCTAGGGCCAATGCGTCGTCGCCACGGCCACCATTGCTGCCGCCGAGCTTGAGCTTGCCGTGGCCGCGCCACCTCGCACCTGCACTGGTCTCTCTCTCTTCCCTCTTCCATAGTCGCTATGACTAGTGCTAGCTAGAGCCATGGACCTTTGGCAAACATCAGCCTCGCCGGAGGCTTAACGCCGTGATACACCGCCGTGAACTGGCCACGCTGCCGCCATGCACGCGGCCGTGACTCACCGGCGTCTCCGCTACGTCACCCTAAAGCCGTAGCCGAGCTCGTCCAAGCTTGCCATGGCTAGTGATGGTCGGAGCGCCGCCGTGCTACGCCGCTGAGCCACCATGAACACTGCCGCCCTAGCCAGAGGCCATAATAGGTCCAACCACCTACCCTAACCGACGCAAGAGACTGAGGGGAGCACGTTGGTGCCAATACTGCCGCCAAAAACCTCACCGCCGACGAACTACGGCCAATCAAAGCGCCTCCTCTGCTCTGCATGTGTATGACGCATGGACTGAGTTGACCATGGGACCCAACTGTCAGCGCCTCTGGGTTCAGTACACCGGGTGCACTTAGCATTTAACAGGGTTTTTGATGTTTTTCTTTAATTGTTTTTCCAGATTTTGTAGCAAACTTGTAAAATTCATAACTAATTCTAGGAGTGTCCAAATAGAGTGAACCTAATTTTGTTAGCTTCATCTTGATGAGTACTATATGTTAAAAATATGAAACTTGGTATGTGCTACAGTTTGGTACCTTGTTTAAATTATCTTGTTTATTCCCTACTAATCTTGAAAAATCCATAACTTGAGTTTGGGAGACGCTAAAAATGTGATTCCAATTTTGTTGGTCACGTTTTGACATGCTGTAGCTAGAAAAAATATTAAACCTACGGTAAGCATGCTTGGAATATGACTACTTGTTTTAGCTTGATTAAATGCTAGTTTCTTGTGGAATTAATTATGGTAGATTTATGAAACATATGGGCATGAATTAATTTCCACAGCATTCTTGTGTATGAGGACTGTAGGAAAAATAGTAAATCTATTGTTAAACCTATTTAAGTTGTTATAAGCCTATGCAACTTGCCATTTTTGTAGAGGTTGCTACACTTACTAAAATGGCATGAAATTTGAACATTAGTCTCTTGAGAGTATGTATAGGCAGCTGTAATGTTTTCAGAATTTATTGAGCACTGGAAGTAGCAGTTCCAATTTTCACCTGAATTAATTGGTAAATTACTAAAAGCTTGTATAAAATTGAATTGGGTCCAACCATTATAATTTTTAAAATGCTGACGATGGGTTTAACCTATTGGTACATTTGGTTGTGCCCTGAATTGAGTGTTTATATGAAGCTAGTTATTTATTACCCCAAAATTCACGTTTATCCAGTTCTATGACTTGGTTGCTTTGTATGAACTTGATGCTTGTTAATTAGATGAATAGGCTAATTAAGATAAGTTGTTAGCTGCAGGTTTTCGGCCTCTTACTGATGATGAACAACTTTATCTTAGGTTGCTAGAACATGGTGAGTGTATGTTTGCTCTGCTAGAGAAGAGATATCACTACTGGAATCTTGTTTTTTTTTTGTGCGAAAACACACAGAAAAATACGAATACCAATATAATGACAGAAAAATCGAATTTTTCTGTGGGTTCACCGTCAGAAACAATTTTTCTGTGGGTCTCACACATACAGAAAAATTGTGTTCACCTAGATTAAAACTAATTTTTCTATGTGTTAATTCACACAGAAAAAAGAAATAAACGCACAGAAAAACACATGTTTTTTCTATCGGTCTAGGTGAACTCACAGAAAAATTCATTTCGCCCAGATTAAAAAAAAATTCTGTGTAGCTAGCCTCACAGAAAAAAAGAGTTAAACACACAAAAAAATTATTTTAAAACAGTAGCAACAGCATATTAAAATATATATTTTCCATACAGTAATTTCTATGCATGACCAACAATGTTTCATTCAAATAATACACAAATAAGTAGTTCATCATGAATGGAGTCAACACTTATGTCAAAAATAGAATCAGTCTGATCTATCAGCACATATATCATATATACAGATATGATATCTGGTCATCTACATGTTCAACATGAATACTACAATGAATTCACAAATATGGATATCGAAAAAGAAACCAAACTATTTTTTCTTGTTCAACCAGTGAAACGTTCACAAAGGAAGTGGGGGGCAAATTCACTGCACCATGGGATCAGGGTTCCCAGCAGCAAGAATATCAAGCAAAGAGTTATGGGGCTCCAGCTCATCGTGCCACAGGAGTAGCTTGTCTAGGATAAAAGTTCCTCTTCACGCCATCGGCATTTATCTGCAGTGCAACCAAATTGAGTTTATTTTGAACTAAAAAAGGTTTAAGCCAAGAGAACACAATCATTTTTTTTGAAACTACAATCCATTTTATTAATTGACAGAAGAATGTACAGCACCACACAAGAAGTTAAATGATCAAAAGTTACGATTTTCAGTTACAGCTGATTGAGTTTCAATCCGAAAGCTATCAAAAGCATCATGCTAGATATAAGTGCCAAAACCAACATAAGACAATCCATGACACCCAACTAGTTCAGGTGATTGCTACATTTTAGTTTCTGGAGGGAACTGAGCATGAAAATTTGCACAAAAATAGAGAGAACTTACAAGAATCTGTACGGACAACCCTCCACTAGCACCATCACGGGCCATAGCAAGGGAAACTACCTTCACCACAAATTTCTATATATATGAACAATAGAAACATATTAGGAACATTGAGGCTAGTTGTACTCTATTCGCTTTACACAATTATAATAACCTTCAGTCATACTACTACACTAGAGAGTATCTCAATTCCAGGATCTAAGTAAGAAGGAACTTGGCGACATACCTCTGTCTCTTCCTGGCTCATTCCCTCTTTCCATTCATGATCAAGAAGGGCATAAAGGTAACTGGAACCTAAACCTGCAATTCAGAGATAACATAAACAAGTGTTGTATAATACTTAAGTTGGAGAGCAAAATATTCAGAAAGGCAGCAAGCATGGGAAAATGGCACAACAATGAACTCAAGTTGGGAACAAAATGCTAGTCTTTGCGAATGATTCTCGTGATTTGGGAGGCTGGGGTAGTGGAGTTGGAGCTGCTGCAAAGCCAGCAGATCAAGATAATTCATGGGAAGTGCATGCTAAGGTGCGGACAATTCCAACCGATTGGGAAATGACTTATACTTTGGCTGCTCACGCAATTCTTTATACCGGTATCACAATAAAACAATCTAGACAAATGAGAGAAAAAACTGAAACATGGAGGAAATGATATCTTAGTCATGATTCATATTATCTAATTTAGCGGATTCTGTGACATATACAATGAGGATAGTGGATAAATGTGCTAAACATGTATATGTGTGCAATCATAATGCAAGTGAGAAGAAATGCAATCTTAACTCATAAAAACAAAATTTCTTTGTAGAACAAGGATATACCATCCGTGTTAGGGTATAATGGAATAGCCTGTGGAACCTCCTCATCGATTCATCATCTGAAACATCAATCGCTATGCTACTTATGCCAAATGATAAAAAAATAGGGATGTCCAATATTGAAAGAACAAGAGCATTACCTTCTTCAGTACTTGTTTCAATGTCATATGTGATAAAAGACAGAGAAGCGGTTAAGGAACAAAAATTTGTGTTCGAGCTTCTTTGAAAATATTGAAGAAAGTAAAATGGAAGGATATTTTCTCTTGCAATGCCTAAATTTGTAGCCAAGGGCAGAGATGGTTCTGGTTTTCGAGGTGTGTAGTAACTCAAACTCTTTGCCATTAACCTTCACAAAAACTTTCACATCCTCATTCCCCTTGTTATCCTGTAATGCTATCTTAAAAGACCAACAACTGAAAAGTCAAAAAAACAGGAACCTCCCAAAAACAAGATAAACCAAGAGTCATTATTACTAGTAGAAACCAACCTGTGAAACATGGCACCAAAACTCTCCTGGGTCACACTTCACTATCACTCCAGGTCTGACTACAACTCCTAGTAATGTTAGCATACCTTTTAGTATCCACAATAAGTAAGATAAAGATAAACTATTGGCATAGTAGCAACAATTCGAGTTTCCAGTAGCGATAGTTAATCTGCATCAACAAAATTGTACAAGAAAGTTCTTATATCTTCTCTTTGTTTGGTCATGACAGAGGAACTGGTTTTGTTGAATGCTAAACTAAAGCAGATAACACTGCATAAGAGGCAGTCACTAAATAACTATTTGGATCTCAAAGGTTGAACTTTCTCCTCGATTTTTTGTGTTTGGCGTGATAAATATAAATGTCACTAAATGCAATGGAAGTTGTTAGAGTTCTGTTAATTCACATGCATTCATTTTTCCAGGAAATATAAGGGTGTTCTGTCGTGTAAGGCCTTTTCACCATGAAGAGGATTATCAATCCAGAACTCTGTTCACCCTGGATGAGAATAATGTATTCCTAAAAGTTGCTGAAACCAAGATAAAGCAATACAAGTTTGACAAGGTTTTCAACCAATGCTCAACACAAGGTATAATAGATTTGCATTTATAGGAACTGTGATGTTGAAGTGAATAATTTGAATGCCAGTGAGATTACAATAGTGTGGTTTCCAGGTGATGTATTTGTTGAAGTTGAACCAGTGATAAAATCAGCTTTAGATGGCTATAATGTTTGCATATTTGCCTATGGTCAGACAGGTAGTGGGAAAACTTATACCATGGTAAGCTCTACTCATTCCAACTCCTTATCTCATTCATGAAGAATAGATGAAAAATAAAAAGTCCAAACAAATCCAAACCAACAGAAATTTAATATTTTGATTTTACAATCCATTACCACTTGAATCAGGAAGGCAAGCCTACAGATCTAGGTGTCATACCACGCATGATTCAAGCACTTTGTTTGATCGAACTTCAGGGAGCAAATGAAGGTTTCTATTCACTTTCAAGTATGCTCGAGATATATATGGGAAATTTGCGAGACCTGCTAGTTCCAGGAAGCAAGACACAAGGTTTTAAGAAAGTACCAAGGTAAATTAGCACTTTCTCTTAAAATGCTAGAAGGGCTACCTTGTTGCAAAACAAGTAATGAAATCTTGTTGACAGTCTACGGACTACAGATGGGAAAATAATGTAAATATTATTCAGTCAATGTTGATAGTTCCGGAAAACTAAAATATAAAACAATGCTACTATAGTGCACTTGTGTTCCAAGGCTACCTAGCGGTCCTCCACAACCAAGAAAATGAACAGGGACATTAAAATGTTGCATTAACGCATAGGCAACATGTCAGTATGCCAAAAAATAAAGTGTGAATATTTAGACATAATAGAAGGATCTAAATTGGGGTAGTGTGACAATCCAAAGAATCTGTCCAAGAGTCAAGACATGAATTGGAATTCGCATAGGAGATTTCTTCTAAGGGAACAAGGCCATTGGCAGTGCTAACATCCAACTATAACATCAATTGCATTTATATCGTCAAAGAATACAATATCATGAGGAGAATGTAACCAAAGTTGTTGACTAGGTGCATTGGAGTAAATGTAATGTTAAGCCTACACAAGCACAATGTAATCACACTATCACAGCATCATGTTTATCCGATTTGATAGGAAACCTTCTACAGTTCATGAAAAGCTGAAAACCTTACAAACTAAACTTGTCTCCCTCGACCTTGTCAATCCATCGAGCATTACGATTTACCATGTGCCACTGCTGCAATGGCCACATAAGCTAAAAACACCCATCCCTAAATTCATGGAATTACGAGACTGAATTACACCAATCAACGAAATTTACAGAAGGAAGCAGCAATACATACTACTGAAAAACAGTGGCAAACAAGTCGTCGTCTTAACCAGAACCAATCAGCCTCCCCAGAAACAACCAAAACCTTTCCCAAGCAATGATCGAGACAAACAAGGCGAACAAAAAAATCGCACAAAGGTCATCTACGAACCCTAGGGGATGAACAGGTTGATCGAACCTCTCACTCTTTCTACATTGGATCCAAAGATCCCCGATTAGCAACACAAACTAGCGCATTTACGAGACAGAGACACAATATAAAGCAGGCGATGGACCCTAATATCCACTAAAGCGGTAGCGATCGGAGAATAAAAGAACATAAGGAAAGATCTTGGCGACGATACGAACCCCAGTACTCAAATATTACGTTCAGCATGGGCTCAGAGAGGAAGAAAGGCACGCGACGGGTCCTCGGTGCCGGCGGCTTCTTCTCCGCTGCGGTGCTTCTCGAGAGGAGCGCGTTTTGGCTTTTTGGAGGGGTGGGCGGATCCGGGGTGGATCCGGGCGGCGAGAGGCAAGGAGGGAGGGAGAGGGGCCCGCCGTCGGTGGGAGGAGAGGAGGAGGGGCGGGCCGGCCAGGAGGAGGAGAGGAGGGGGCGGGGCCGCCGCCGGCGGGAGGCAAGGAGTGAGAGGGAGGGGGGGGGAGAGGAGGGCCGAGCAGTAGCAGCGAGCGCGTGTGTGTGCGGCCGGTGGGTTAGGGTTAGGACTTGTTTTTTATTTATCGCGCATATATATTTTTACATGCGTGCATATATATTTTTTCGTATGCGTTTTTAAAGCAACCGCAGAATAAATTGCGTTTTTCTATGAGTGTTGATTTTTCCGTGTGTGTATTATCACGCACGGAAAAATCATATAATTATTCTCATGGGTTTTCGTATTTTCGCCGAGATATTTTGAAACCGACAGAAAAATCGAAAACGCACAGAAATTTTTTTCACCCACAGAACAATTCGAGTTTCCAGTAGTGTATGCACCTACTCAGTAAAATAAAATTAATCCTGTCATCACCTTGCCATCTTGTTGTTAGGAATGAGTATATATATATGCATGCATTGCACCCTATCATTCATGTCATCCCTTGTGCTTTCTCTATATTTATCTATATACTCATACATATAGGATCGGCGGAGGGAGTGACACTGCTGGAGTTCGAGCTCGAAGGAGAGGAGGCTCCGTAGGAGATCCCACAGTAGGAGGTTCCCGAAGGAGAAGGACAGGTTGAGGAGGAGCTGCCTAAGTGTCCTGATCACAGACCCTCGGCCTATCTGAAAGGCAAGCCCTGGAGTATTCTAAATATTCTATGTTTTATAAATGCCAACTTGAGTTCTTTATGTTTGATGCATTAGGTTGTAGGAGTTAATTGAAAACACTTCATGCATATGATCTCCTTGTACATAATTATATCTTGAAAGCCTATGTAGGTCTAGGATCGAATAAATGCTTAGCCATACTTAGTTCGGTAGAAGTCGGGTGACTTTCTGTCACCTGCGAGATATAGGTGGATACCTAGTCACAGTTGGCTATATTTGCTATCGTGGAAAAAAACCATGTGATAATGTAATTGGAGGTCGGACGGAGTCTATGTTGTAGGTTGACTCATATGATTCCGTCTGTACTGCTTAAGGACCGCATCGTTGTTGGTCCTCGGTCATTTTGAACACAACGCCTCACTTAGCAGGTCGGATAACTCGTTCCGACCGTGAAGTCGAGTAGCTCAACTCAGGTCGAGCCTCGTTCTGTACGAGTGCACACACTAGAGGTAGTAAGGATGTGCGGGGAGCCGGATGTGAGTCTAACGGCAGGCCGGGCCTGATCGTCCTAGCAGCCGATCAGCCCCTGAGTGTGCAGCGCTGATCGAACCCACGACATACGACCTGAATTGTACCAAAGGTGACCTAAGGCTACCTTGGCGCAGGTTTGTGTGGTTTGTTTTAGAATTTCTGTCCAGCTAGTTGCAATCGATTCGAATCGCTGTCTCTCTCGGATAGTGAGAAACTTGACTGAGCTTGTAGTAAGTTGATGAAAGTGAAATGGTTATGATTATGATACAATAAATGGCTATGGTTAATAATGTGATGCTACCCTATAAAACCTGTTGTAAAGATGAACAGTCTCAGCATGAGCTAGAAGAATGTTGTGGCCAACAAGGTATGGCTCTTTGATTGAGTTCCCATTTGGGTCGGGACATTTTAGTCCTGGTGAAAATGTATGCGGTTCGTTAAAGGTCAACCAATTGTTCACCCTGTCACCGAATCGTTCAAAGCACAGTCCAGCGAAGTCTGTGTAGTCTTTTCTGAAAAATTGCGAACCCGAATGGTGTTCATCGATAAATAGTTATGCTAGTTGGTCAGCACTTCGTTGAAATAACAATAGAACATTGTTTGGGATCTGCATACAATTTTTTTTTTTAATATTGGCCATTGATGTTTCTCTAATACTTATATATGAACCATGAATTGAAGTTAAATCATATGAAATGTCACTTTCCAAAATGTATGTAACAATATTATAGTTCATATATAGTTTATTGTAACCGGAAATATTGATGAAACTTCAAAGTCGCCATCTTCTGATCGGTAATCTTTTTTGTTTTGAGGAAAGGAGTGCGTGAGCATGTCATTTGAACTGCATATAGTACTTACATAATTCTCTTATCTAAGAAGCCGCCGTAGTCCTCTACCAGTGCTTGAGGCGTGTCCCAGTGGAAAAGTGTTACATATGGCTCTATGCCTGATGAGTTGCAATGAGTAAATTAAGAATGATTCGTCAAAATTTTTAATTTGCGCATTGGATAACGATATTCTTCAATTAATTAAGCTGCTAATCGAACCAGGAAGAAAATTGGGTTTTTACCGTTGTCTATCATCAAGTCGATCAGGTTATTGTAGTAGTCGATGCCTTTTTCATTAATGTCTCCGAGCGTCCCATCTGAAAGCCGTAAGCATATGCTGAAATTAGCACCCCTAACAATACAACTCAGATGGTGTGCATCTTAGTTGTAGACATTGTCTTTAGTGTTCCCAACGTACTCACCGTACGAAACATATTTAGATAATTTTTTTATATACTTACTTGGCAGTATTCTGGGCCAAGAGATCGAGAACCTATAGGCGTCCATGCCCATTTCCTGGAGCAATCTCACATCCCCCCTGCCAGTCAAATAAAAGTACTAGACATAAATAATGATGACAATATAAATTAACAAGCATATTAAGTTACAAGTGTATATACATTAACATTTTTTTTGCCAGAAAAAATCTGCACAATACCAAATATATCCTGTCATAAATATATGTACATGTTTAACAGAGTAACGGCATATAAACATTATATCAGCTGGTTGCCTGATTGCTCACAATTTCATCTTATCCCAAAAATATATAAACCACTTCATTTTTTTTCCAACCGAGTTCCCAAATTTTACCTTAGCATAAACATGGAAACAATTCATTGTCTCCACAAATATTAATTTTTTAATACTTCTGATCCCCTTAGTATTTTGCAGTTTTGTAATAAAATAACATAATATTTCAAATTTCCATACAAACTGGTAAAATTTATCTTGTTTTCCTATAGTATTTGTGTCTTGGATATTCTCAGTGACGATGAGATATACTGCTTTTAACAAGTGCCGCACCAAATTTGTTTTAGGAATGTATATAGCTAGTTAATGGCATCTCGGCATCTCAGTACTTACTCTGTAGAGATGGTAGGAATCCGTTGCAACGTCCCCATTGCTCCCATCCGCTATCCAATCGTCTATTCGTATACGCATGAAAGGAAATGACATCATATATGATGGTTATACTGAAAACTGCATCTTATTGTTGGTACATATACAGCATGCATGCTTATTATAACAAAAAAAATTATGTATCTTACCCGCAAAATTGTGGCAGAAGTGATCCCAAGTGCTTGGCCCCTTTCCATCTTCATTCCAACCACCTTCGATCTACACAGACATGACATGTATACTAATATTTTATGCATATCAAACACATAATTAAAATGCATTCACACATCATATTTTTCTTTTAAGTATTAGTTAACAGTTAACACTAGTTTCCTTTCATACTAACAAAAACATAAACTTTCGTGCTATAAATTAATACTTGAATGCTGAAGTGGCGGCACCAAAGATAAAGCTAGGAGGAACCAGTCCCTTTTAGGGACTTCCCAGTACGTGCTTGAGCTTTTGGCCTCCAAGCTGACTGCTTATCCTTTGAGCTCGTGACCTAAGGCTAATGTTGCACCATCTTCGCTTAGTATTTTGTGATGAAGAAGATAGGTGCCGTGAGATATGCTCATTATTGGGTCGTATATGGCTTCTAAGCCCTGAATGGGCACTGTGATTTATGTCAGAAGCATGAAGTTGTAGTGGAGCCATTTCTTGCATTGCTAGCTCTGGCTAAAGTTTTGAGCTGCCGTTGAGTATGTAGCAGGAATGTAGGATATAGGCTGATGCATGTATTTATAGTCGAGGATGCCAACTCTGTAGGAGGATTTCCAAATATTTTAGTGCCAAACATTTGTATGTAGCTGGATGCATGTGTTCTGTGTACTGCTTCTGGCAAACACTAGTACACACTACTAACTAAAAGATTTTTAGAGGCGTGTACCGGCCTATCCGTAGAAATATTTTGAATTTCTACCTGTTTGCCAAATTTCTAGCGGCTGAATTCTTTTCTAATCCAGTGATGCCCCACTAGGTCCGATAGTCGTGCATCACACACTACTGGAAACTCAAATACTTCTGGTGTGATTTCAACCCATAATCTGAAGCCTTGCATGTACACCCACTAACAACTAGACCCTCAATGTAACTTGTTTAAGGGATAGATTGAAAAACAATTTCAAATCAAAAAGTTGACACAACTGAAAAGTTGTATAGCTCTTTGAGATCTACAACTTTGTTTTTTGTCATTTCGCCATTCGAGGTCGTTAGAATAATTTAAATTTTAAAATATAAGGATTCAAACTGAATTTTGGGATCTCTGATTATTTCAATGAAAAGTTATCAACTGCAATATTTTAGATACCTGAGATCTATAACTTGGATTATGGTCATTCTCCATGAGAGACACTTGAAAATTTTGAAAATTTTGAATTTCAAAATGTGAGACCTTCAAACAGAACTTATGAGATCTAAATGATTTCAAATGAAAAAGATGTCAACTCCAAAGTTTAAGATCTCTTCAAGATATACAACTTTGTTATAAAGTTTGTGTACATCCAACTTCGTTTGAAGAAGTTATGAATTTTACTATGTTGCACGAATTTTAGAGATAATTCTAGATCTAGCTGCCTCTACGAATCGATTTCTAGGAGCGGCTCAAAATCCAGCTGCCTCTAAAATATAGCAGCATTTTTAGAAGTGGATGGAAACACCAGCCGTCTCTTAAAATATATTTCTAGAGCCAGATCATTTCATTTCAGAAACCATTTTTTAGACGTGGTTTTCGATAAAGCCGTCTCTACTATAAAATTGAGGTGTTGCTAAAAAGCAACTCTGTAATAGTGTCCTAAACAGTTTTTTGCTGACATCTGGGTTTCTATAGGCGGTTCATAAAGAGAAAGCACTAATAGAAACAAAAGAGTGGGGCATGGTTATCATGGCTATGAATCACCAGGGTAGATACATTTGCACTGGTGTTAGGCTTATGAAAATCGCCGGTGTAAATCCTAGATCTACACTGGTAGTTCACTTATTACTATTGCCGGTGGAATGTATCTCCACTAGCTTTTAGCTTAAGTGACCACCAATGGATAGGTCTCTTGGAGATAAACAAATCAGAAATATATGCGTGATATGTGCCGGTTAATCATGCGCAAGATTATTTACTACCAAGGAAAATATTTTGATAACGCATATGAGTAAGCACAGCCTGAATATAGAGATCTTATTGGTTTTCCTAGGCTAGATTAGAATAAAGATGATTATTTGTGAGTTTCAAGACTTTATGCAACGCCTGAGTTAAAAACTTCGATGTATATTTATGCTCTGTTTGATGACTTGATGGATGACTATATGGTAGAACCAAATAAGTATTTGTGTTTATGGATTGTAACACCCTAAAATTTGCAACATTTTGAAAATAGGTGAATTAGATTTATTTATACATTAGTGTGAGCATGTAACATAGAAAAATAATAAATTTTATCAAATTAAAATCAAATATAAGGTTTACCTATATGTTGATGCATTCATGCTGCTGTATATTATTTTTGTATTGTGTGGTTTGAAATCAGATTTCAAATTGATTTGAACTTGCATTCAAAAGTTGTTTGGAAATTACTTTGGAAAATAGGAAAGGATTTCATTTCCCTCCCTTGACTACGGCTTGCCACAGCCAGCTCGGCCTGCCCCCGCACCCGCGGCCTGTTCCAGTTCCCCGCAGGCCCAGCTGCTCCTGCTCTTGGGCCGGCTCGTTTCTCCGCAGCCGCAGCGCTCTCGCGCGGCCTAGCCGGAGGCTCGTGTCGCCCGCGTCCTCTCCTCTCCCGCGCCTGAACCACTATCAGTTGGGTCCCTCATGTCATCGCCTTCCTCCGCGCGTGACCGGGACGGACTCTGCCGTTGACGCCGCTGTCGAATCCGCCTCTGCTACGCTGCGCCTGACGTGAACCCCAAGCCAGCTCCGCCCATAAATAGTAGCCGAGCTCGTGCCGCCTCCCTATCTCGCCTTAGAGCAAGCCTTCGCCCTTGTTTTTGCTCCAACCGCCGCGCAACCCTAAGCTCCACCGCCATCGTCGGGTTCGAGCAGCCGCCACGCGCCATCGTCGGTTCCCGCTTGTGTTTTCGGTCTCGGTGAATTCGCCTTGATTTCCTCTCTCTCTCCCTGTGCTCTTGTTTCCCTCAATCATGGACCGTAGGCCATGAATCGCTAGCGCCGCTCCGCTCCGGCCATGACGCCACCACGTCGGTCCTGTTCCGGACGGCCAGCTCTCTCTCTCCTCTGCCTGATCTAATCTGCGCCGCTCAAATCTAATCCAACGGCCCAGATTCAATGATACCCCTTCACCTGTCATTTTGCAAAAAGACCCTTATAGCTATTTAGATCTCAACCCGTCATCCCTGGTTTCTTTCATAAGGACCCCTGTCTTTTCTTTTAATAGTGGCTGCAGTCCCCCTGTCGTTTTAAAATCAGAATTTGATTTATTTTATTTCAAAAATCAAGTTCCACTTAATTACAGAATTGCCACTACCTTCTATACGCCATAAAATCTTCGTTTTAACTCTGATTTGATCTGTTTAAGTTGCGTTAGGTTCGTAATTCCATAATCTACATGTTCATACTACTGTTAAGCATGTTTTCAACTTTTAAAATTCGAGGTTAGATTTAATCTATTATTTTACTAAAGGAAATCTTGTTTAATTCATAACTTCTTTGTTTTAGCTCTGATTTTTGTGATCTTCACGTCTGTGTGTTCGTAGTGAGACGTAGATTCGTTTTATAAACTCTTCATCTTGATTTTATGCTGATTGGTGTATTGTTCTAATCTATAGCTTTTATTTGCTATGCATGATTGCTTCTAGATGCTTGTATGTTGCTGTGATTATCGAGTATAGACGGTGAGCAATTCGTGGGAGACCAAGGGTATTACTTTGACGAGAAGGATCACCAGGAGTACTTTGTTCAAGGCAAGTATAGCATGGGATTATCTTTGTTTCCTATCAACTTTAATACATTAAATTCATGTTGCATGTGTCACCTTTATAGGGATTCCCTAGAATTGATCTTATACCTTGTCTCCTATGGGATATGCATTGGGTAGCTTTGCTAGTGCTCAATTAAACCATGATCTTGTAACTTAACTAATAGTATATGCAATAAATATTAAAATATGATTTTTTAGCAACTTGGAAATAGGGGGCTGGAGTGTTTATGATGAGGACATGACACCCATACATATGACCATGTTTGGCGCATGGTATGGAGGGGTAGGAGGCCAGCAACGGTGTCCAAGTCAAGAAGGAGGCCCGAGGCTAATTCGGTTCGAGTCCCCGAGGTGGAGGCCCAAAGCAACTCAAGTTCGAGTCTGCCTCGGCCTCCAGGACCAGTTTGCCTTAAACTGGTCACCCAGGACACATCTGGACTCCGTTTTCAACGATCCATATATGGATGGAAAGCTAATTTGATAAGGAAGCCAATCCAAGTGGTCTCACATCAAAATCTCTTCGAAATCAATCGAAATCGTCGAAACAAGTCAGCGTCCAGAATCTGTCAGGGTGCTGCAACATCGTCTTTTGGTCCGTTGGACCGTGTATCGTGTTTGGGCCCATTAGGGGGCGCGTCCAGGGGGTGACGTCCAAGACTCTATAAATAGCAGCCATCGCTCTCCTTAGGGTTTGGGTTTAGTTTAGTTCTTGATTTCCTCATGAAACAGACATCGTTTTGCTGCAACTGTCGCCGCCAAGGCCGCTTGCTGTGAACCAGGGCCCCAGTTCTTGATCTTGTTCGCCTGTGGCGATTAGTTCTTTCAAATAAAGACTTGAAGTCCTTCTTATTTTCATAAGCCTCATATTTATTTGCAATTTTAGATTGTGTTCATCTCGTTCTTTCTTGTGTTCTCGATTCGCTTGCAAGAAAGCCTTCTCGGCGAGGTCAATCGTGTTCGCGTGGTTGATAACCAACGGAGCAGTGGTATAACGGTTGCGGGGGTCCGAATCAGTCTTGGTTTGAAGCCTAGATCGTGAACATCGAGTTTCCACCAATCGACGCTATCATACCTTTCAGAAGATCGGG